ATATAAAATCAATCAACAAATATATGAAAAAATTTTCATCATCACTAGCAATTAAAGAAATGCAAATCAAAACTACTCTAAGATTTCACCTCACTCCAGTCAGAATGGCAGCTATTATGAAGACAAACAACAATAAGTGTTGGCAAGGATATGGGAGAAAAATGTACACTCATATACTGCTGGTGGGACTGCAAATTAGTGCAGCCTATATGGAAAGCAGTATGGAGATTCCTTGGAAAACTGGGAATGGAACCACCATTTGACCCAGCTATCCCTCTCCTCAGTCTATACCCAAAGGACTTAAAAACAGCATACTACAGGGACACAGCCACAACAATGTTAATAGCAGCACAATTCACAATAACTAAACTGTGAAACCAACCTAGATGCCCTTCAATAGATGAGTGGATAAAAAAAATGTGGCATACATATATGCAATGTAATATTACTCAGCAATAAAAGAGAATAAAATCATGGCATTGCAAGTAAATGGATGGAGTTGGAGAAGATAATTCTAAGTGAAGTTAGCCAATCCCAAAAAACCAAATGCTGAATGTTTTCTCTGATATAAGGAGGCTGATTCATAGTGGATAGGGAGGGGGAGCATGGGAGGAATAGACGAACTCTAGGACAGAGGGGTGGGAGAGGAAGGGAGGGGACATGGGGTTAGCAATGATGGAATGTGATGAATATCATTATCCAAAGTACATGTATGAAGACACAAATTGGTGTGAATATACTTTGTATACAATCAGAGATATGAAAAATTGTGTTCTATGTTAATAAGAATTATAATGCATTCTGATGTCATATATAAATAAACAAAATTTTTTTAATAAAAAATCTAGGATCAGAGAAATTATATATGTGGCCTAAGCATTTTACCAGCCTCGGGCAAGTCACATAACTCAAATCTCAAGTACTTCACTAGCAAAACTAGGATAACACCACCTACTTTGAAGGTTATTAACGGGATTAAATAAAATATTTAAAAGGTACCAAGGCACATCAGTTGATGCCTAGTAATTATTTTCTTTTTCCACAGAAACAACATTAAATATGACATATGCACTGGCTAAACAGTTTCCAAACTAAAAGAAAACCCAACTAAAGAAAATCCTATTTAACTCTCACACACTTAGCTCTAAAGCCCAGCTGACTCATGCAGCATTCAACAACCATTTACAGTTGCAAGCACAGTGCTAATAGGGAGAAAGACAGACTTACTTTCTACCCTACAGAACAGGGTCTCATGAAATGACAAGACTAGTAAAATGCTGGGTACAAAGCCATTAATAAGAAAAGCTCTGGCTACTTAAAACAGGCACTTACAGGCTTGAGATCAGGAAAGAGATGTGTATAAAGCTTGCTTCCTTCCATACCCACCATCCTACTTTAAGGTACTGTTTTTAAAATGTCTGGAGCAGAGGTTTTAGAAGGGCAGTGGTTTTTTGTTGGATATAAGATAAGAGAATTCTGAAAGGACAGAAAAGAAAAAGGAAACCTGTAAGCAGTTTTAGGGAAAAATTATGAAAGCCTTCTCTTTCCTTGGGTCATCCCCAGAATGGCCCTGGCAGTCCAGATTGGCAAGGGAGATGGGGCAGGGGGCAGAAAGGGTGGGGGACAGAGGAGAGAAAACAAAAATCCCATCTCAGCAATGGAGAGGGAAAGGGAATTCCTGTGGGCAAACTGTAAATGAGGCCACATTAAGTTCTTTCCTTCATTATGTTTTTCCTTCTTTATGGCATAAACCACCTTATAACAACAATTCTGTGATGGGTTCCTAACAAGTCTCACCTGCAGAGTCTGCTTTCTTAAAATAATTTTCTATAACATCACAAAGCTTACATTCCTTAGACACTCCTTAATCTTTAAATTCCCACACTAAATAATCAATAAGTACACTAAATTACCATCTGGATCAAGTTCATACTTCAGCAGTAATCAAGGCCTTGAATGCAGTTCAAATTAATATTAATTGCCAATAATACACAAAGGCTATATGGAAGGCACAGAGAATTATCCCTGAAAAGGGAACACCTAAATATATGGAGCAAGGAAGAATCTAACAAATCAAACTTTCAGGACTGCACAGTTCAATTTCCAGCTAGGGAGATGTGACATCTTGATTCATGAAGGAAGCAGTCCTCCTAGGCTCTGAAGGAACAAAAGGACATAAAACAGCAGGGATAGGTGAGGCCAACATTTTCACATGGGGTAATAATAAAAACAAATAAAATGTGTCAAGAAAGTATATGATGTGCCCAAGAAAAATGTCAGCTCTCCTTGTATAACTCAATCACCCCCACTTCCCTATGACATAGCATGATGTCACCAATCTTGGATCAGACTGCCTGGGTTCAAATCCTAACTCTACCATTTGGTATCATGTATGGCCTTGGACAAGTAACACAACCATTGCATGCATCAAATTGCACAACTATAAAATTGGGGTAACAATGATGGTGCTGACATCATACAGTTTCTCTGGAGCACAGAAATAACTAAGTCTAGCCTGACATCAGGACAAATGAATCTGATCAACAGTCTTATATGAAATGTACAACCATCTGACTACTTCCAAAGCATATACATTTGCAGAAAACAAACCTGAATTAGGGTAGTGGCAGCTGGGATAGACAGGAGAAACACTGATCGAGACTGTAGAGAAAGACATGCAAGCACACTACCAGCAAAGTGCAAGATGAGAAAGAGAAAGAAGATCAGAAGAACACCCTTTCACCCATCTACCAAAATATCTATATATTCAGTCACATACTATTTTTGATTCTGCTGTTCTCTGAACACCTAGAGGTTTTGGAGTTTGAAGGAAAGTTTGGAAGAATGTTGTGCAAGGCCCTTTACATATTCCTCATCAGGCTTTCATATCCTCTAAGTTAGTAAACTCCATAGGCTACTTTTCCATTAGGACAAAAATGAATACCCAAAGCATCATACATGGGTACATCACCAGATGAAATATACCAATGTTCAAGAATTCCAAGAGTTCCAAAGTTAAAAATAGCCTAATTTTTCCTGGTGGAATACTATTTCGAGTTTGGTGGCAAAAGAGCACAAATCCATTATTAATGAAATCTGAAACAATGTCACATGGATTTGGCCTCCTCTGAGCTGCAATAGCTTGGAACACACCCACACACCACATGTAGCTTCTTTTCTTTCATCCCTGGATGAGGCTTGTCAGCTGCCACCCTGAGGGAGGTCCCATCACCTTKCAAGCAACACATCAATCAGGCTGTTCTATTAAATTGTTGTTTGATAGGTGGAGGCAAACATACAAGTCCATAAAACAAAAGGTACCTTGCCTCTGTTTTTATTATTCATCCACTGGTACCTTATGTCCCTCAAGTATAATACAGGCCATTGTTCTTTTCCACTTGAAACCTATAATGCTAATTACATATTTCCAACTACTTAAAAATATAAGAAAATAATTTACAATTAATAATTTTGCAAGCTGMAGAAATTGCTTTTAGGCATATGTTTGTAAATATGCATGGGAAAAATTGAAAGAAAAAAAAACCCTAAATGTTAACAGTGATTATTTCTTAATGACGGAATTATGAGATTTTTTTTTAAAGAAAGAGAGACAGAGAGAGAGAGAGAGACAGAGAGACAGAGAGAGAGAGAGAGAGAGAGAGAGAGAGAGAATATGAATCTTTTTTGTAGATGGATACAACATAATGCCTTTATTTTTATGTGGTGCTGAGAATCAAACCCGGGTCCCGCCCATCCTAGGCAAGCGCTCTACAGCTGAGCCACAATTCCAGCCCGAGAGAGATTTTTTTTTAAACATTTATTTTTTAGTTGTAGTTGGACACAATACTTTTATTTCATTTATTTATTTTTGTATGTGGTACTGAGGATCAAACCCAGGGTCTTGCATGAGCAAGGCAAGCGCTCTACCCAGACCCTGAGAGATTTTTATTCTTTATTCTTCATACACTTCCAATTTTTCTTAGGCATATAGTACCTTATAATCAGAAAATTTAAAAAGGAAAATTTATTTTAAGTTTTTAAAGCTTTTCTATACAAATAAAAATCTAACAATACTTACTTACCCCAAGTCATATACTTGGTCTTTCATTCAGCTAGATAAGAGAGTTCCAGACCAAGCCAAAGAACCACAAAGTTCCTCCATGCTAAAGGGTTCTTACAACTAACAATTTGCTTAATGAGATTTTTTTTCTAAAAGAGAAAAGCTTTCTGTTTGATTGCAAATCCTTTTAGTATGTTTCACTAAAAAGAGCATTTATTACATAATTCTCTTAAAAGTTAACCATAAGGGTTTTTTAACATTTTTTTAGTTGTCAATGGACATTTATTTTACTTATTTATATGCAATGTTGAGAATCAAACCCAGTGACTCACACATGCTRGACAAGTGCTCTGCCACTGAGCCATACCCTCAGCCCCTCCATCAGGATTTTAAATAGGAAAAACAACAAATCTTCATCTGATGGCATATTTTGTTTGGACTCCGAATGTTAAGGATCACAATCATTATACTGTAACTAAGCCTCAATATTCCATTAAGAGATAATGCACAACCCAAACTTCTGCACATTCTAAAGTAGAAATTAATACTAAAAGTCAGTAGGAGGTTAAGATAAAAGAGGAAAAAACTGCTATGTTCCTAGAGGCTAGCATATATCATGCGCACAGATTTCTCCTTCTGGCCAGTTAGCTTCCCTGGGAAGAGGATAAGCTTACCCACATGTACATCATATCTGTATCTAAAACCTTCCAAGTGACTCTTGCTGAAATGTGAACTTGAGAGAAAATACCAGACAAACCCCAAGGAGATTGGTCCATTAGGTTTTCACACAAAGAGATCACAAGGGTTAGTTGGAAGAGTCACAAATAAACATAATATCATTTTATATGTTACCAGCTAGACTCAACAGTCAGTAATATGGCTTCCAGAAATAAATCCTTAGGTACCTGAGCTGCAATGATAACAGCCTTCCCAAACTCACCTGGGACCTGGAGACCTCTCTTTGTGGTGAATTTCTTCCTTCTCCCGACTCAGACACTGAGTTTGGGCCTGACATTGAAGACAATGTGGCTTTAGAAGTGGCAGTATGGTCTTGGGAGAAAGATGAGAAGGTCTGTGTGGGAGAGGGCAACCTCACCACACCTTCTCCTGCAGCTGCCTCGCTCTTGCTGGATGAGCTTGAGACCAACTGGCTATTGTCAGGCTTCTGGGCAGGTGTGTTGAATGAATTATTTTGGATTCTCTTACTACCTTCCACATCTCCATTATACTTCCAGCCATCATCCATCTAAATAGGAAACACTGTTTTAAACTTGATATTCTGTTAGCTTTATTTTCTGCTTAAAAAACATTTACATGTTAAACCTACAAAAGTAAAATATACCTGACACAGCAAAGCATTGCTAAAAGCTTGGCATTCTTTCACACCAACAGATACATACTTTTATAAAGAAGAATTATTGTTATAATATAGGATTTCATACAAATTTCTGAAACTTGCTCTGCTTGTTTACATTACTCAAGGCCAACAGACAATTTCATAGTGTAGATGGCAATAATTCAAAACTTTAAAATTGTTCAACGTTTTTTGTCACTTCTAAAAAATATCACAACAAAATCCCATAGGTCTTTATAGTGGGAACTCCCCCTACACAATTTGGCTAGATTCATTATAATGATCAAAATTTGCATCTACATATATATCATATATATATGCATATATCATATATTTTATATGAACATATATAATTTCTAAAATTTAGGAATGTACTCAAAACATGTTAGAATGCCTATTTCTCTGCATCTTAACCAGCACTAGACATTTTCAGCCTTCTAAATCTTTGTCAGTCTGATGGGTGGAAGTTTATACATCTCACTCTTGCTCCAATGAGACCAAACATGCTTCTATGTGCTTTATGTTATCAGCCATTTAAATTTCCTTGCCCTTATATTTGCCATGTTTTCTATATCAATTTTTCTATTATTTATCTTCCCCTTACCAAAGTATGAAAAAATTTTATACTTTAGAGATACTGACCCTTCATCTATAATAGTTTTCTTGACTCCATCAATCATCTTAACCATGATAATGACGTCTATCATATCAATTTATTTTTTTTAGTTATTAATGGATTTATTTTGTTTATTTATATGCAGTGCTGAGAATCAAACCCAGTGCTTCAACATGCTAGGCAAGCACCCTACCAATGAGCCACAATCCCAGCCCTCAATTTAATTTTTATGTTGTCAATATGCCTATACTTTCCTTAATATAATGATCACAGGTTTCCTGGCAGGTTTACCTCACCTCAAATACTCCAATTGTTTTAAGTTATATTTTTTTTCTCTTCTCTATTTTAAGACTGTACATTGGCAGAACTAATAGGACTTTGCATATTAATGTTAAGACTGTATTGCTTCCTTTCACATAATTCAGATAAACATGCTGGATGTGTGATAATTCATTATGAGAAAAAATGCCGCAATATTGTTTATCCTTCAAAATCCCAACAGAAATATGTATCTTGGAATAAACTATTTTAATAATTTTATTCAAACATATCAAGTTCTAATGTGAGAAATCAGGATAAAATAGCAATCTGTATATAAACTCCTAAAATACTTAGGTTAAACTCCAGAAAATTGCTGTTTTATAGGTTGAAAAGAGGTAACTACTGGCAATTTCATATTGTTCAACCTCATACTTTACAAAAGCAGTATCTGACATTTTTTTGCAGTGTGATGGGTTGAACCCAGAGTACCATGTACACTAGGCAAGTATTCTACTATTGTGCTACAACCTCAGCACAAAAAAATGTATTGGAAAAAAAAATAGTAGTTGAAAAGAATAAATGCACTGCTTTAGCATTTCTCTTATTTGATTATTTAAAATGTATCCTCACTACTTTCACTGAATTTAAAGTTCCCCAACTTTTTGCTCTTCAGAATAGACTAAATACACTAAGAGACATTTTTACCGTGAAGGATCTAGGGAGTGATGAGATTCCCCTTGACTGTGTGCCAAAAGGTCTCGGTGTGACCACAGATGTTAACCTGGCTGTATCAGTTTTCTGGTAACTTCTAGGGAGAGAAGATGAAACTCGAGTTGACTCTATTTGCATACTCAGGGAACGCTGAGAAGACAAAGAGGCTGGGTGTTCTGCAGAGCTTATAGAAGGAAACTGAACTTCAGATGCTACACTGTCCTGTCTTTCCATAAAAGTTATAGGCTCTTCTTTAGGAGTCTCAGGAGGATGTGTTCCCTCCTCTTCCACTCTCTCGCTCTGGTAACTGGCTTCGGACTGAGTCAGCGTAGCAGGTAGCTCTTCATCACTCAAAACATCGTCGGAGGAATACATCCTCCTAGATGTAATTGTAGACTTTTGATTTCGAGATTCCCTTCACAGAGAGAAACACACCATCACAACAAGGTTAGGCATTTGACACCAGAAGTGGAGGGGCTGTAATTAAAATTTAAGTCATCTAGGACTAAAAACACCACTGACACTTAACAAAATAATCAACATAACACTATCAGAGTGTGGTGATGTACAATTTTTTAATGCCCCAACTAACAAAGGTTATAAGAAGTTCATTTTTTATTATTAAACAGGCTCTCTATTACTTTTTCATAAAGATATTACTTTTGGGGGAGATCATAGTTTAACAAGGAAATTTTAACAAGGGGCTATTCATAAAATTTTATCCAAAAGCTATAGGTTTCCAAATTTGAAACACTATATATAAATAAATGACTGACAATCAATTTGAACCCTCCACATCTGTGAATTCCTTGACAGCATTGTGAACTATTTGCTATATAAAATTTATAACACGTTAGTAAAAGAGGACAAAGCACCAGCTTTAATGAAGATCCAGTCATTGTTTCATGCAGCTTGATAGAAATTCCATGGATAACAATAACAGACTAAAAGTAACTATTCATTTTTAAAGCATTGATGAAACACGCTCATCTAACATTTAGTAAGGCTAATTGTGTTGCATTTAAGGAAAGGAAATTGTTAACCGTTGGCTGTTCAGACACAAAGGAGCTTTGTTTAATTTCACCTGGCAGCATATTTCCTCTTTGACATTATTCTTAAAGCATATTTGCCTTCTCCAGAGCCTATAAATATCCTAAGATTTCACACAGTAACTGCTTTACAGGAGAGCTTAAATTTGACCTTTACCCTGCTATGTTGCAATGCAAAGAATAAATAAACCCATACATTAATGCCTATATAAGACTTCCTTTAAGATAAAATTTATATTCTATCACTAAAACAGAAAAAAAGAACTTTGTTGTATTTTATACAATTCAGTTAAAAGTGAGAGCTGATTTTATTTGCCCATTCCATTCCTAAGTTCACTTTAAAAGGGCAAAAAGTAGTATATTTTCTGCACCAAATACAGCCAATAGCTTCACTTTGTGTGTGAATGTACAATGTGAAAAAAAGAAATACTGTCCACCTATATTGAGTACTCATTCCTTTTGCTAATTCAAATCATTATTTTAGCATTTTTTTAACTACAGAGCAAAATCCTAGATGTTTCATTCCATACATGATTAAGTTTAAAATGGGTAAACACATACCACACCACACTTACACAAAACCTCCATTTCTAACACCAGCATCTCCAAACATGACCTGTCTATTCGGCCCTGTTACCTGTCCTGCAGCATTTCCTTAAACGTCTTGGAGCTTCTCTCAGACTTCTCAAGTGCTTGCTTTTCAATTTCTTCCCTCTCTTCYTTTTTCTTCTGTAGATCTGAAGTGTAACTTTTCCGACGATCTTTCCATCTTGCAAGGTCCTGACAGAAAATCACATCAGCCGGGTCATACCTGAGTTCCTACACACCCTTTTCAGCAGTGAGAGTGCGCCAGAGGATCCTGTTACATCACCAAAGCCATTCACTCCCATTTGTGCCAAGGTGCCCCAATTTTGCTTTTTATAGCCGGTTTTCTGTACCAAGCCTTTATCTCATGCATCTCTCTGAAAAAACTGACCTAATAAGATAGTTCCCATTTTTGTTTTCCCAGAAACAAAATTGGCCCATTCAGAGAGAATGCTAAATGCGTGTAATTAGGTGTCAAATTAGGCAGATCAGGAACTGTTACAAATTCATTTTTGTCTTACTCCAAAAACCTAGCTGTTATGTGAAAGGATATGTTTTCTAGTACAATGGAAACAATGTGTTAACTGCACCAGGTAAGTGCAGGTGCAGAATAGTCTCCTTTAACTAACAGGAGCTCCATCCCTATAAACACATATGAATAAGATGTAGTTCCCCTCAAGAAACTCAGCCTGGAAGGGAGAGAAACACAAGTGAATAAAGTTCAGTAATGAGTGTGACAAGATTGCATGGGAGAGTGGGGGTCTTATATAAAGAGGGTTTAATTTTACTTCCATATGGGGAGAATTTGCAAAGTCTTCAAATTTGCTTCACTGGCCAGGGGAGACTCATATATAGGATGTCAAAGAGCGTACACTTCAAATGGGTCAAGGGAATATGGAAGATCAGGTAGCCACAAGCCAATAGCTGTTTCCCATATCCCTAGAAATGTTAAGCGTAACCAAGGTAGCAATATCAGGACAGACAACCTAATCCTGGTTCCCCCTAGCATTTCCCTAATAGCCTAGGCTAGTTCTGACACTTAGGGGTTTAAAACATTTTGAAAAGTACAAACTTTTCTATGTCTCCAAACAGAGAAATTCCATGCTAAGGATTGCAAGATTCCAGTCCAAACAGAAGTGCATCCAAGGTCTCAGACAAAGCCAAACCTCATCCCTAAGGCATGCAAAGTTTGATTTATACCCTTTGGGGGTAGACAGGACTATCCTGCTTCTAAAACAGCCTGAAATCAATATGAATTATTCCCATAAAGAACTAAAGGAGTGTGCATTTAGTCCTAGACAATAAGAGGCATGAATTTTCATCTGACTTAATGGATAAAAACCCCTCAATACTTTTTATTTTCATACCAAAATATTCACCATGCATTTTGGCAAAGTGAAATTGAGTTACTGTTTCTTGACAATTAAATTAAGTTCCCAATAAAAGAGGCATTGGAATTTGAAACTGAAGTCAAGACAGGCTTCATCATCATTACAAATATTTTAATTCCTTTAAAAATTAAGATTTACTATATCTGGCCCTTTTGTTCATGCTACTATTCAACTCTCTTACCATAAAGTTGTCCTCAAACTATGTATAACTTATCTGTTTTTGTTCTTATTATTCTTTCCATTTATAACAATTACTCCATTCAAAAAATTTAAAAATTATACTTTATTCTTTAGGATCAAAACTAAAACATCTCATTTTGATTCATACTAGATAATGCCTTCTTCAGCCAAAATATTACTCTTGATTAATTTTTTCCCCAATCTCCTTAATAAATTTTAATAACCCTTTCATCTCTCCCTACTAATGCCAAGAGCTATGTTAGACTAATCCCAATCTTGAGCAAGGTCTTTTCCTATCAAAAGCATAATTAACAGTTTTACCCCAACTCAACCACAAAAGCAAGAAAATAAGCCCACTCTGCTGCAAGGAAGCAGCTTTGTATTTTTTGAAAACTCATAGAGAATATTAAGAACTAAATATTCTCTTACTTTTACCAATGGTCTTTAGGATATGCAATAGTCACAGGTAAAACAAGCTCAAAACTCATTGGTGCAACTTTCTCCAGAACTGAATGCTATAAATAGCAAGAAAAACTCTCTCTCAAATATACTGACTCTCTTTCAAGAAAAGCAAATGCATGTTCTCCATTTCCCAATTTAATAATACTCACATCCTGCCATTTCTGATCTTGTTCTTTTAATTGTGATTTTATTTTCTGCATCTCCTCATAACGCAATTGACGCAAGTTCTGAACATCCTCTGCGCTGACGTCACTCATGGACTTACTCCTAGAACAAAAACACCCACAGTCACGAAGGTTTGCATGTCTGGTCTTAAGGTCAAAATGAAGGCTGGGTTTATATTTGGAAATTCCACCTAAATTTCTTCTGTACCACCTAGACACTTTCGGCGATAGTATCACCGAAATAGCTCTGGAGAGATAAATGGTATTTTTCCAAAATGCAGAAACAAGAGCCTAGTACTCAACTTGGGTGTGAATTTTTTTGTTCTTCCCCCCCCATACACACACACAATGACCAAATTAACCCTGTATAAGTCTGACAACAACAAATATTATTATTATTATTATTATTATTATTATTATTATTATTATTCCAACATTCAGACTTGGAGACATCAATGCACAATGGATAACTTTAGAAACAAAAGTACCAGTCACCAGAATCACCTATTTTCTACCTTCCTTAAAGATAAGCTATGAAGGTTTGGCTGCATTTTCTGGGCACTCACTAAATAATTTAGTGATTACCTGATATTTTCTCCTCAAGTTAAATACCATGACTAGATGTGCTTCTACTTCTCAATGATTCTAATAAGATCTTCCCACCACAGAACTAGACTTGCTCTCAAAGGACCACGGGTAGTTTCTGGTAGCCAGTTAGAACCACCTCAGCTGCCATCTCCTTGATTAAAGCAGTGTTTCTGTGTTTAACTTGCAACCCCTGCACAAGATTTTGCTGAGGTTTAGCTCTGAAGAGTTCAGTCAGGCAAGAAAGCAATGGGCAGAACGGGGGAGGTCACAGGCACATGTCTGCTGTCAGTATGTTCCCGTTAACTACACCAGAGAAAAAAGGGTGTAAGAAAGGTCTCCCAGGAAAGAAGAGGTCAGGTCTGAATACTGAAAAGCAGTCAGGAATATGAGAGGGGGGAGGGGAGAGGGAGGGGGAGGTTTTTTTGTTTTTTTAAAGGTGCAGTACCCAGAATGTCCTTTCCTATTGTGCTTCTGGGTTCATTTCACTGTAATTGAATACACTTTTAGTTACTGAAGTAACTCTACCTCATCTTGGTCACCTAAACTTTGCCTTCCTCATAGTTCTGCCACCACGCTTTCCTCATAATAGCTTGCTCTTAGCTAACTCAGGAATTCAACTATAACTTCCATGCAAATGACTCTTTGGTCTACAACTTTGGATCTGTCCCCTCCTTTGACTCATTTCTAACTGCTCATTTAATAATCACTTCTGCGTGGATCTCACCTAAGCACCTTAACTGTAAAAGGGCCAGTTGAAATAATATCTTCAATGGATATTGTAAATTGTAACCCACTGAACACATGGTTATTGTTAATGTAGCCAAATTTAAACCTGCTTTTCCTCTTGCCATGGTGAAAGATGGTACCTCCTCATTCATATTTGAAACCCAAGAACCATTTTTCACTTTTGATTCTCCCTTTTCCCCTCTTTCAATTAGTTATCAAGTCTTCTCATTCAGTATCTCTTTCTTTCCATCTCTACTGCCAACGCCCTAGATCAGAGAACAGTCAACCTTTACCTAGACTTCCAAAGGAGATGCTTCTATTATCACCCAAAGAAAGCCTTTCCTCAAATGCTCTCTCCAACTCAAAAGCTCTTCTCTGATATATATACCTTTAAAAAAAAAAAAACTCAAAATATCTGCTGGATTAAACTCAGCTCCCCACTTGAAGTCTAACAGGCATCTCAAATGTAACTTGTCACAGAGTAATAACATTGCTCACTCCACAACCTGTTCATCTTCCACTTTCCTCATCTCCATCCTTCCGTGCTTTACCCTCTAAATATCTCTAGTATAGCAACACTTCTTCCTCCTCCACCATCACTACCTGGACCATGCCAACACATCTCCCATCTGGAGATTCATAATAACCTCCCTGCACAACAGTTTATTCTCAACACAACAGCCAGAGAGATCTTTTCAGGTTGCACCCAGGTAATGGCATACCCTATTCAGCACTCACCATCTTCTTCCCATCTAACTCAAGTTAAAAGCAGGTTCTTCCAAGACCCACAAGGTCTGATGCTACGTGCTCCTATCCACCTCTCCAGGGTCATATCTACCACACTTCACTCACTCTCCTCCTGTCAAAGGGCCTCACTGCTCATGCTCAGGCCTCTTCCTTCTCCCCATGCCCTTCAATCAGCCTAGAATACTCTTCACTTAAACATCTACGTGGCTTCTCTCTAGCTTCCAGTCAACTGCAGAAATGTTACTTAGCCCCTCTTCCAGACTTACCTATCCCTACCCTCTTTTCTACATAGCATTTACTATCACCTGAGATGTATAGTTATTTACATTTCACCTGATTTTCCCTGTAAGATTATAAAGTAGGAATTATATCTGATTTGTTTGATAATCCTAAAAATGAAGGCCAATCGATGCTAATTGCTTCATAAGTGTGTTAAGGATATTATAGCTCAAGCACTAGAGCAACTGCAAGAAGGATAGGACAGTGCTGATATGGAACAGATAGGAAGACTTTCTCCAAGTGGGAGACTATTACCTAGAGAATAATGCTCTATTGCTTTATTTATATATCTTTCATGGTAGTTAACACTCAGCTTCATGTTATACAGTATGTGTTCATGCATCCTTAGCTTATCTGCCTCACAAGCTATATGCTGCCTTTAAGGAAAACACACTGACACAGCACAAGGCATGTAGGATACATTCATTTAATATCTGTGGTAAGAATGAGGTAAATTTTATCATGTTTAATTAATCAAAATACACTAAATTTGAAATGCTTCTAATTTTTTCTTTGAGAAAGCATTAGTGCTCTCCAAAGTTTTATTAAGGATTAAAGAATAAGTTTCATACATATGAGTGCACTTGTGAAAATACATTAATCAATCTATGTACTATGTATTTCAGTAGGTATGTATTATGGTATGGATCTTGAATGTTGCCCTAAATAGCTCATGTTGGGTAACGCAGCAATGTTCAGAGGTGAAAAGATCAGATCATAAGAGCTGTGACCCCATCAGTGGGTTAATCCATTTGATTGACTAATAATTCAAATTGACTACTGGCATGGCTACAGGGACAAGCCATCTTCCCTGGGGTTGTGGCTTTGGGGACTCTACCTGTTCCTGGCCCCTTCCTCTCTTTCTGTTTCCAAGGCTGCCATGAGTTGAACAGCTTTCCTCCACTTTGCCTTCTACCATGATGTTCTGCCTCACCTCAGGCAAGATTTCTGAAACCATAAGCCCCAAACAAACTTTTGTTCCTCTAAGTCATTCTTGTCAGGTATTTTGGTCACAGTAATGAAAAGCTAATACAGTAGGACCACACATAAAACTGATTTGTGTGAATTTGAGAATATAAATTCACTTTGAACACAAATAGAAAGGACACTATTTGACCGAGCACAACTACAAACTCACTAAGACAGAAAAAAATGTTCAGAACCAAAGCATGAAGGAAATCTGGAAACCCAATACATGAAGTTAAATACACTGTAGGACAAAAATGGAAATGTTAATTCATACTTTATCATTTAGGGGAGGAAGGCTGGATAGTGCAATCTGACACACAGTAAGCCCTCAGGACCTCCCATGGCTGCTGTCTCTTTACTCTCAATCTCCTGCGCTGCAAACATTAACATGCATCTTCCTGTATAGTGTGCTCATCCAGGCTAAGGCTGCATCCTTCCTGCCCTGTACACCCAGTACCAAGCAGAGTATGGCATCCAGGACATCCTCAATAGGAACACGGTGACAAAACATGGTCTGGAGTAGACAAGTTTCTGGAAAGGCAGAAATGTGAGCACAATTTGTTCCCTAAGGTTATCAAGTTACCCACATAAAGCTAAGCATACTCCATAGGAGGCACATGAATCAGACAAGAGGGGGGGACTCCAGCCCAGCTTTCACCCACCATTCATGTAGCAGTTCACTTTTCTAAACCTCAGTTCCTTATCTGGTAAGGTGATTGTTATGATAACCAGATAAGTCTGTGCTGGTTGCATTTTTAAAAACTACCTGGGTGCTACATACCAATTCTTATTAAAGCAAATATGATTGCATGGGATCTCCTAAAAGCTAACTCATCAAGCCACTTCAAATGAGAGAAGTCAGCCCAAACCACACTGATAAAATCTATTACTTTTAGAGGACAGGAATCTCTCAATCAGATCATGAAACTCTTTCCATCCTTATTAGCATTCACTGCATAATTACTAAACTTCTGAGGGTTTTACCATGTGCCAGCAACACTGCCAAGCAGTCTCTGTGGATTATCTCATGGGGCAAAGCCCTAGTCTGGTTCTACCACTCATAAGTCTACATCCCTGGGAAAGTTGCAATCACTGTTTCTCCTTCTCCCATGTCTTTATAATGTAATGCAGATAACAACTACCTGTCTACCTCAAAGAACTGAAATAAGCACCAGAGGTAGCATCAGGAAAACTGGGAAAACAATAAAGGACTACACATATCTAGTCTGTTTTATTGAACAAAGGACTATTCACTGGTAAGACAATCATAATTCTCTCATAATTCATCTACCTGCTACAGTTGTATTTCCTTATTTGGAAAGGCTCCAATTTACAACTGCACTTGGATTTTTTCCAAAACAAATACAGGTGTAACATCTTGCCTTTTCAGTTACATAGAAAAACTATATATGTGTACATGTTATATATGTGCATGAGCATTAATATATAATAGCATTTAAGGGGAAGACAGAAAGAAAAGAAAAAGTTTAAGTAAGAAAGTATCAATCATGAAACAAAATCACTCAAAGTATGATTCTCTTCTCTTCCTACTCAAATTGCCTAAGATGCCCCTGGCATTTATGGCTAGTGTTAAGGCATGTTATTTTAAAACCAATTTCAGGAAACTTATAGATGAATATATAAGAAGTAAGGGATCAAAAAGAATGAATATGAATCAAATTTTCCTGAATATAAAAGCACTAATAGCTTTATAGAGCAAAAAGAAATTCCAAAATACCAAGTTAGGGATTCCCAACTGTCAGAGGGAGCAATGAAAATACTTATTATGTACCTCTAAATGTATTTGTGTTAGGCGCTATAGAAATCCTGTGGGGGGGGGTAAAAAGCTAAAACCCATAAACAGCAACATAATGGACATTTTTAATTTATACATTTATCATGTAAATCATAGTATCACTACAGATATTTGAGTCAGAAAATTATTTGTTACAGAGTGCTATCCTGCATATGGCAGACCATTTAGTAGCATCCCTGGCTACAAAGGCATCAAATTCTAAAAGCATGCACCCACCTACAGTGTTTGTGACAATGAAAAGTGTCTCCTGACATTAACAAGATATCCTCTGGGGTGAAAACAAATCTCCAGAAAATAACCCACATGAGCATTATTTTCCCTTCCTTTCTGTTATCTTATGTCTACAGAATCTTCTGGTCAGATCTTGAAATAAAGGAGAATCTGTTGTTGTTGACTACAACTTCACCTTAAATCAGTGTTTATTTCCTAGGAGATTCAATGGTTTAATCACATTACAAGATTACTTCCATATATCCTTATAACAAATTTTTATCTGTCATTAACAACTTATGCCAAAAGGCATAATTTTCACCATATTTTCAAATTTCATAGAATGAGACCAATATAAATGCATGCAACAAAAAAGCACACACAAGACATGACAGCCACATATAAAGCATCTCACTAAAAATACACTGACAGGTGTTAGTGTTAAATGCCAACTAAAAGGCAAGCTACAGGACTGGAGGTGTGGCTCAGTGACAAAGCGTTTATTTAACATGCACAAGGCCATGGGTTCAATCCCCAGCAAAAACAAACAACCAAAAAAAAAAAAAAAGCAAGCCAGAATTGAATTGCCTAAGAACTCGAAATACATTGCCTACTTCTCTTYAAATAGGTCCTAGCCAAATAGAAAAGAAAAGCATTTACATTATAGGCAATTAGTTTTCAATTACAGGATGTTGAATAATAATAATGCTTTTCTAGGAAAATACAACTGGTTTAACATTGTACATATGTTCAGAGAAAGATCATTGAGCATAAACATGAAACATGTTGTAGATTAAAAGCCTACATGTAATCTATTTGAATTTCCATTTTATTTTCATTGCAGAGAACAACTCAAGGAAAGCATTGCTGATAAAAAAATAATAAAAAAAACAAACCTATATATACTTCAACTGGTCTAAAACACCCTTGAGTTTTCTAAAGACACATTATTTCCCATTATTAGACAAGTCATGCAGTATTCATCAGTTTCAATTTACAGATTATCTTGCTTTTTTATGTGTAGCCTTCTTGGCACTAAACTGCATAGGGACCAGCCTTTAAAACAAACACTGTCCTAGACAAACAATAATCTTGGAATTGTCTACAGGAAGCATTTGCTGCTGCTAGCTATAGTTGACAAAAATCCTGTTTGTTGTTTATTTTTGATGCTGGGGATCAAATCCAGGGCCATATCCATGCTAGGAATGCATTCTACCACTGAGTTCTACCCTCAGTCAAAGGTTTCCTTTTAGCCACATAACATTCCCTACACTAAGGAGGAACATGTAGTCAGTGAGGTGGTTAGGTATGTTTACTTGCCCACCAACTATTTGCATTCTGGGTATTTGTAACCCCTTCCAGAAAAATAACTCTTCCTGAGACTTCCTTATGTTATAATATCATATGTAATTTACAAATGAAAATTCTTTCTGAAAGTTACTGAAAATTCTTGAAGCTGCAAAGAGATTTTTAATCAAGTGAAAACAGCTTTCCCATGATGAACTGGGAAGAGCAGATGCTTAACTGTCATGCTGAAGACTGTGGTTCACTCTCACAGATAAAAACGTTTTTGAGCACATAAGGATCTGGATAGGGGATAACCTGTTTTACATGGCACATGAAAACATACTGAGATCCTGATTTTTAAAATCAGTGGCTAAGAAGTACTTATAATAAGCTGAAGCTTGAAGAAATGGTAATCATGGTAGCGTAACAAGATTTATGGACTATCAAAATTCTCAAAAGTTATCAAAAGTAGCAATTCTTAGACATGAAATAAATCCTGGTAGGAGAAGACATTTTGCACATTAAACTATCTGACATCCTTAAACTTTATTCCTCTTGCTCCAAAACTAGTAACAATAAGTTACAGAAAGTTTGGTGGAAAATATAAGATATAACCATCTGGTGATTTTGTACTAAGAATGAATGACTTACTTTTAAGTTTCAGTTATTCTAGAAATAGAAAAAAATCTGGAAAGTTAGTTTTATAATATGTTATCATGTCTACCAAATAAGTAGAATTAAACATCAGTGGACAAAAACCGAGAATTAGTTTTAAATACAGTCTTTGGAAAAATAATTGAAAACTATCAAAGTTTTAGTTTTTGCAATTTTGGAAGTCCAGTTTTACACTATACATAGCCATGTTATAAYTCTCTACCCTGATTAGGAATCTTGAACATATTTCTATGTACTCTAATGGACGATCAATGCCACTCAACTTCCCCACTAACAAAGCTTCCCGTGAGCTGAGTATATGAATTATGGCAATTGCAGGCATTCTAATCTTGAGTACATACTATATTTTTCCATCACAGAGTTTCTAAAATGTAGTTGTTTGAGTTTCAACAACCAGAAATCAGAAACGTAGTTTATCTGGCAATCAAATACCAAAATGATCTTAGACAAATGTTCTTATTACTTTTGAGCAACTCACTAAATTTGAAAAACAGAAAAGGAGATGGAGCTAATTTTAAATTTTTCAATACAACAGATATTATACTGTTGAGTACAGCACTTCATGCAATAGGCGCTCAGACACAGAAATATTACCATTAGGTTGCAAAGTTAATTTTTAAAAACTTCCCATTTTAAAATCTCATGCACTGCATACAACACCCCCCATTTAGTGACATGCCAGGACAGAAATGCAATGGTAAATTACAAACAACAAGCAATATGCACAGATTTATTTTTAACGTGAACCACAAAACTTACCCATTCTCACCATAAATCTTTTGAAAGAGTCTAAGAAACCAGAAAACCAAAAATTAAAAAAAAAGTAACTTTTGCCAATTCTGTTAGTTTCTAATTGTTTAACAACTTTAACATGTCTAACTGAAGATGGGCAAATCTCAAAAGGTTGCTTCCTCAGCAATATTCTTGATCATGTATCAAGTTCTCATCAATCTCATATCTCAAGAAGCTAAGATTAAGCAAAATACAGGCTTAACTTACCAAGCAAACAAATCCATAGGAAAAGGCCTCCATTGTCAGGAGCTGACAAGTTAGATTTAGTCTACTAATTTAACTAAGCCTAATCAGATTTGTCCATCCCTAAATTCAACAAACAACAATTCAAAAAACAAACAAGTTGCCTAACACATAGATTATTGCCAAAATGGCCACAACTGCATACATGTAAAATTCAGCAGACAGTAGATAACATTCATGCATTTTAACAAAGTTTGAACTGAAGTTTAAGTTATAAATAAAAATATCACAAACTGATAGTCCAAGAAACCTAGGTCAAAAGCAAAAGTCAAGTTAAATGAAATTTGCAATGCCATATTTTAAGGGAAATCTTTACTTCAAAAAGGCAGACATTCCAAAATATGAGAAAAACATATAGAACCAAATGACACTAGACTACTACAGAAATGCCTGGACATGGAAATAAAAGTCTGTAAATATAACTGGAAAACATTTTTAGGAAACTTCATATTGCAGAGTACCACAGACTTAAAGCTGAAGGTAAGATGTATGTATACACCTTCTTAAATATGCCTAAGAGATGTGCAAATATGGAATTGCACTTTTTCTACAAAACGACAAGTTTCTTAGAGCAAAATATATATATATATTTTTAACACAATGCTTCAAAATAGCACACATCATGCAAAGTTGAACAATCTGATGCTGTTTTGTACAAGAAAAGTTACACAAGACCATCCATTACAAGCCAAATCCTTGCAGAAACACACTCTGACCTCTCAACCATCAGTCGTTTCTTGTGCCTAAGTCGGCTAGCCTCCCGGATGGCCTCCCACTTCTGTAGGTCAGCCTCACTGCAGGGGCCATGGGTAAAACTTATGGGAGGCACTGTAGTTCCCAGTTTCCAAGACTGGATCTTCCGAATCAACATGTCGTCTTTCTTCTGCCGATATGAAGGAACTAATATTCTACAGCTACTACTTTTTTCTTTTGATGGGCACGTCCTTTCAAGTACACAGAGAAATTTTGCTTGAATTTCTGGAGGCAGAGTCCAGGGTTCAGGAAAAGGGACTGGCTGGTATCTATCTGGGGCCCCAGACAGAGGCACTTCTTTCTTCTGTGCTGGAATTCGGCGAACAACCATGTCATCTTTTTCTAAATCTGGAAGTACAAGTTCACCTTCTCTACACTGCAAAATTATATCTCGCTCCACAGAATCATCTTGCTCAGAGAACCTTCCAAAGTCTTCAAAAGCTCGGAGAACATATGGATTCGCATGGAAAGCTCCAGTCTTTCTCACAAAGAAATCATCATTTTCTAAGTCGGGATCCAGAGTTGGCATCTCAAAGTCATCTCCCCTATAGCCTGGTGCATGAGAGAGATTCTTTCTGCGGGTTATGAGCCTTGGGCCAGAAGTGGGATCAATTTTGATATTTGTTTCAGAAGACAAGATGTCATCAGAGTATGTTTGGAGGGCCTGAAGTAATAAAAACTGACTGAAGCACAGAAAAGAAAAAGGAAGGGAGAAGCTTATTAAGTTTGAAGAGAAAAGGTAATTAGGTAGTAGAGAGTTTCCATGGGTGAATTATTTTAGGGACTGGGGAGGGACTCTTGCAAGGAAGACAGACTAGCATTTAATGCCATCACTCATGACATTCCTGGGTACCATTTAAAGAAACAAGAGCAGGGTATACTTCCCTGCTGGGCACTATCAAGGCCAGGTGATGGGCCTAGGCTTAGAACTCAGATTGGGTACACCTTACACACACACACACACACACACACACACACACACACACACCTCCTTTGTGCCCAATTCTTCATTCTATTAGAATGGCCTAATATTCTCACTAGAGAAGAGAGAATAACTTTGGAAAGTTACAAGAGTTGGTCACCATGTACTTTATGCAATAGATGCAGGTAAGAATGAAAAGAAAAAATTAATTGCTCTTAAATTTTATAAAAGAACATGATGAATTTTTTTTTCATTCTCCCATAAGACTTACCCTTCCCAGTCTCTAAAGTTATTTCCTTTCTCCACATCTCCATACACAGCACAACTGTAAAATTAGGTAATCTTTTGGAAAGCCTTTTTGGAATGGCTTTCCAAAAGAACTATGTCACATGTAAATAATATACTCTCTGAAACATTATTGTGCTAATAAAGAACATTAAATCCTACAGATTTCCAAGCTTACATGCTCACACAGAAAGCAATATGTTATAGTTTATGCTTTTGTACTAAATATATTAAGTTTCCAAGATTGAGCATAGTCAGGTCCCAGGTTAATGTAGCAGAAGTAGGCAGCAGCAGGTATCTGATGCCAGATCCCCAAGCAGACTCAGGCGGACAACTGCACCTGGGCTCCTCTGAGACTCCACTGCTTTTCCTCGCTGTGTGCATGTCCAGTGATTTTATGGCCTGTTGAGTAGCTAGTTCCAGCAAGAGTGAAGATCTCTGGTAGTTGCCATCTAGCCTACACTGTTCTCTCTGTATTCTACTAAAAATGGTTGAACCCGAGTCCTCATCCTCAGAGTCTGAATTCCTTCTATTATAAAGTGATATGGAGAAAAGAAGGAGGGAGAGAAGAAAAGAATTGACTACTGAAATTAATGTCAAGCTAGGACTACATACAGGAGAGCTTTTTAAGATCCAGATTCTAAAGTTTAAATTTGAACACATGTTTTCAATTTTAGAAGTTCTACAGATGTTAGAGGGAAAAATGATGTTAGAGGGAGATGTTAGATTTTCTCCATCTCACAAAAAAAAAAATGCACAAAGAATGCACAGGTCAGGGTAAGGAATGAACACTGGAAGGACAGAAACACGCATAAAGACAAACCTGAATCCCTGAAATTCTTTATACCATGGTTTAGAGGTTTCCCTTTTTATTCTTTTCCAGTTCACATCTTCTGGAATCCAACATTTGGGAAGAAACTGATCAAAAGAATTCCCTGGATTTGGCATGACTGGACTTAGCTTTCGCACATACAGATCATCCTTGACAATGTTGGGTAACCGTGTTGGTTTTTCTTCTTCCTCTTCCAAGTAATGAGAGGACTTTGAAGGTTCTCGGCCTGCTGCCCAATTCTCTGCATTGGTGCTCCCACTTCTCCTCTGGTTACTGTTCAAAACATCCAACGAGGTTAAGATACTGCATGAGCAATCTAAACCAGAGCACATAAGGCACGCATTCCACCTCACAGTTTACAGCAGTGTGAAGAAAGCAAAGTAACTCCCACTGTTGTCACCACAGTTCCTAGAACAAAGTTAAGGTGCCATCTCATACTAGTTAGAGAACAGCCAGACACACACGGCTAAGGACACTTAATTAGATGTTAAAAGAAAGACAAATTGCAGTTTGGAATGACTTTCTGAATTAAATCAACAGCATGACAGATATCCAGATCCAGGACAAATACATTTCTGACCTTGTCAGTGTGTGTAGCCCATAGGCTAATGTATCAGGAGAAAATATATGCGGAACAGAGTGGAGAGAGGTGGTTTTCGAAATGAAACTCAGGGGCCTCTTTTTCACTTGGAATCTGCGGTTGGCTAAGTCATCCAAAATCACGTCGGGCAACCTTCGTTCATCCTCAGTATCTGAACCACTTTCRGAACCACACACCTCCTTACAGGAAGCTGGATATGAAAAATCACACTCTGCTCTGCTAATTTGATGGGGAAATAAAGGATTCTTTTCACGTCCACTAAGATCAACAAAAAAATGGAAGAAAATACGGCAGCTCACAATGAACAATATTAGTCATCCAGTGCATTAAAAATACCAATAAACTGAAGGCACACACCTAAACAACACCTAGCAGATCATATGCTGACACATGTTAACAGAACAAATATCTTCAATATATATATGACTAAAAACAGGTATAAAAAATTCTCATTATTGAAACTCATTATCTCTGAAATACATTTTAAGAATCATTTTTAAATACCACTCAAATTCACAAAGCTTAAAGAACTCCACCATCACATCACATTCCAGTACCTTGAAAATGTCCCATCTGCCTCTGTGTAGACGGGGCTTGCCCAGCTTCTTCTGTTATCCTCATTCTTGTCTGGCTTTTTCTTCCTCAACGGTGCTGGCACATAGGATGGCTGTCTACTTTTGTTGGGTAAAAAACGATTGAATGGTAAAGCAGATTTTGGTTCAATAGCTGAAATCCTTCGATAGGACATATCATCTTTGTTAAAATCCTGCATTTTGAATGTAAATTCCAAATCTGTGTCACTTTCGCAACCTATAAAACAAAGCACAAGAATTTGTTCTATTCTTTAGATTATTCACTTTATTAAAACCCCTCAGCCTGTCTGCTCTATCTTTCCCTTGGAAACCCAGTGCTGCTACTGCGAACTGTGGGAAATATTTTTAGAAATTGTCATGAAGTTGTGATAAGATCCATTAGGAGGAACTTGCTTTGCATACTGAAGGCACATGCAGTACATTCTTCTGCTGTCGCACATTCTAAGCAGAAAAAGTCCCTATTCACTGCTGAGCCCCTCCTTCCCAATCATCTTTGCCTCCAGGATCTTTCATCAAATTTGTCAAAGTAATACATGTGAATAAAACCTAGCAGGAAAGTTGCAGGTGTTTAAAATGAGATACAAAAGAAATTCTAGGGAAACTAATTTAAAATTAAAGCACGCATCTTTCCAATGTATGTGAGGAGAGAAAAGGGGAGCAGGAAYAGAAGTAAAAATACACAAGATAGTGAAGGAGCATGACGAATCCTTATGAGACCCCTATGAATACAAGAGAGAATGGACTGGGTGACATCTAAAGTCCCCAAAGAATCTCAGGTCATATGCAAATGAGAGCACAGAACTTATGCTACTTCTTGTGACCATGGAAATTACAGTGGGAGTCTCCTATTTTCTTCAAAATTACTTAAAAAGAAACTCAGAAGAATACCCTTTAATACATCTCAAGTTCAGATAAATATATATAATATACCTTCTTTAAAAAAGAACATAAACCTCCTCTTTTAAAAACACAGGGAAAAAAAAGAGAGGATAGAACAGTACAGATTCAGAAGTCTCTTTCCTGCCTTCTTTTCATTCTGCCTGGAGAACATTTGTAAAGATGGTTTTCAAGTGTTGCTTCCCACCAGGGTCCCCTCCCAAGGCTGGCTAAGCACAGCACCCATATCTCCAGGCTTGGCCATACACAGCAGCAGAGGTTAGCCAAAACTAAAGGCAGTCTACTCTCCTCTTCCTGCCCAGCAGAAATTTACAGTGAATAACTCTGAGAATAGTACACAGGAAATGGTTACAGCTGTGACAAAGGCACAGGGTAAGGGAAATGAAAAGGAAGAATGCAAGGCAGCTATGCCCAAGAGGGTCAGCCAATAATCTGATGCTTTTTTACTACTTCCTTTAAGAAAAAAAAAAAAAAAGACATTTCTCTCATTTTAAAAATGTGTGCCAATGAATCCTACTAAAATATACATGTGAAAATTTAAAATCACAGGCTATTCTACTTTTGAATTTTTTAAGTTAAAATCTTTTTTTAGCTCAGTTCAGTGTTCTGCAGAGTTTTCATTTGCCTAAATATCATCTTGATGTAAGTTTTCATACAAAACTAGGAAATTTTACTTTGCAATTCTTATCCTAAAAATATCCCAAATTTTGGTGACCATCAACTACAATCTGGTGGGTAGCAGAATTTTAATAAACCAATCTCAGAAATGGTTTCTTATCTTGGTACTCCCCTCTACCTACTAAAGTGTGAAGGCCAAGACCTCCAAGCTCTATAAGCAAGATTTGTCTGCAACACATTTCAGCAATAGGGAAGGTGACTGCAGACCTCTGCTTTTGGTTACACACACCTGACTAAAGAAAAGGACCTAGATCCTACACTAGTGCCCACCACACTGTAAGGACTGAAGTCTGGATATGCCCACAAGCCCCTTTTATTCTTCACTAACCAGATGCAAATTTAAATACTGCGTTTTGCAGGTTTTCCAGTCATGACAAAGTAATCTAGTGGGTTGCGAATTTTAGCCTCAGCATTTATAATTTTAATCATTCAGATGCATTATAAACTTCAATTTATTTCCTTAAAGGTATTATATATAATCATCATCTGGGTTATAAAAACGTCACACCTAGACAGCAAACGGCCAACAATGCACTAATAATTATAAATGTTAACTGCTTAAATAGCCACTCACATTTTTTAAATACTACTTACTACTACTACTATTACCATTACCACAACTCCTTTAAGTGCTAAAGAATTTAGTTTTTGTTCCCATGCTTAATTTTTGAAAAACGAATTCATTTGATGTAGAGTTGGAAAGTTTTCATAATAAAATCTTAGAAAAAAAACATTTACAATATAAAATAATATTCATAACAAACAAGCAAAGTGAAATCCCTAACAACTGAGCATAAATTCCCAGACAGAATTCAACCCTTCATTATCATGATAGTGGAAGCACAAAAATATCTTAAAAGAAAAAAAAATGTTGGTGCAGTATTGGAGATTGAATCTAGAGCCTCAGCACTGAGATTCATTTTCCCAGCATTTTAAGAAATTTTACTTGTAGTTTCCAGTAGTCAATTCAGAGTAGCTAAGTATTTAGTCAGAAATTGCTGACACTAACTAGTAGCCACAGGAATAAGACATGCATTTAAATAACTGATTTGACCATAAGCTTAGAATTTTGCAAGAAGGTCCCTCCCACAACAGAAAGACTGCATTACCACTGCTCCTTTTATGCCTTCTCTGTCCTGGGTTAGCTCTGACCCTGACATGACCAAGAGATAGATATTCTCTCCCACCACATTAGGTACTCTAAACAGGAGCCTAAAAATCTATCGAAATATAATTATTAAAATATTTYTGTTTTTTCCTTGAGTTTTTAATCCTTTCTAGTAAAGTAAAAGAAAGAAAGAAAATTACTCAGCAATGAAACCAGACTTTTTTGCAGAATCTTATTTATATTCTTCGTTGATGTTTAACTATATTATATCAGCTGATAGGCCTCATATTATTAGGCCTGGAACAAATTATTGCTGACAAAACGAATCACAGGAAGCTGTCTCCTCACAGTCCTGTCCAAAAACTGCAGAAAAAATTGGAAACTATTAACACTGTGAGGAAAAGAAAAATTATGAAACCTCAAATATATTTAAGACTTTCTTAACATTTACTTCTGGTGAAATTTTTGCCTAGTTTTATTCTGTTTTCCCACTCCTGTTCCAGTTTTTTAAGTAATAATTTGACAGCCAAAAACATATCTCACCTTCACGTCCTCCTCTCAATGTGATATCTGAGGAGCAGCTGGTCAATGATCTGGACCCCAAAGAGTCTAAGCTTTCAAAGGAATCTTCCCTCTTCTGGCTGCCTGGAGGAGCAGGAAATTCTCCTCGGTCAGAACACCAGATATCACCGTAGCCACTGTCCCGGCCACTTCTTTTCAGGCAGCTGGAGTCTTCAAGTGCCTGAAAAAACATTTTATAAAAAATAGTAAGCTTGGGCTGGGGTTGTAGCTCAGTGGTAGAACGCTCAACTCACATGTGGAAGGCACTGGAGTCAATCCTCAGCATCACATAAAAATAAAGTTATTTTAAAAAAATAGTAAGCTAGTATGAACTTCCAAAAACATAAATGTTTTGCTTCTTTGCTAGATAAGGCAATGTGATTTACCTATTGAACATAAGAAAAGAGCTGATAAAAATCAGAATATACATCTGTAATTTTAGGACCTCTGAAGTATTCCCAGGCCCTGTCTTAAACCTAAGAGTTGCTTTATTTATGGGAACAGCTAGACATTCACGATGTCTTTGTGATTCCTTTTTTAAATCGCCTTTTATGTATGTGATAATGTAGAGCAGAGGCTAAAACATTGCTCTAATGGTTGAATAAGGAAAGAGAAAGAAGGACCCAACATTGGGGTCAGGGATTCTTTTCCGCTGTGTGGAAGGCCCTTATTGAAACGTGGATCAATACTGTTACTCAAAGTTTTGTCTTAGTTATTGCACCTGACTTTTGCCAAGTTGTGCCTTTTCTTCTGGAATTGTAAGTAAACACAGTCATAGCACCTGTTTATACTGTGACACAGATATTGTTACAGTGAACATACCAGTGGCTCTCACTGCTGAGCTCACAGCCCCTAGTGAATGTGTGATGGATGGAGAAACCCCTGTACGATCTGCTGATGCTGTCTGCCTCTTGAAAAATAAATTTTGAATCCCCCCCCCAAAAAAAGAATAGACATCTGTAACATTTTCCCCCACAACTAATATGATAAGGAAGTATTAGATGTTTAATGTGATGATTAGGAGGCATTTGACATTACTTAATAAAGTAGTATGATCCACTAAAAATAAGGAAGAGGGTATAGTTTAATGAACAAAAGTTCATTAAAACAACACTGAAACACTGAAGTCAATGATTATTTACAGTTCTCTGACAATAAACATGAAAGGAGTCAAAGAGAAAAACCAATTTTAATTTAAAAATCCAAATGGAGATAAGTCAGTAAAATTATTCAGTCTATCTCCAGGAAATATTTTGGGTGATTATAGTAAACAAAAGAATTAATAAAGTTCTTTAAGTGCATTCACCACCCTCAACCCAAAATAGCTAAAGGGGGGAAAAAACAAGAACTATGGCTCTACAGTATCACATGCACAAAAAGAGATTTAAAAAAGGAATCACAAGGCTGAATGTTTTCTCTGATAAGTGGATGCTAATCCATAATGGGATGAGTGGAGGAACTTTGGATTGGCCAAATGGAAGGGAGGGGAGGGGAAAATGGGATAGGAAAGATGATAGAATGAGACTGATATCATTACCCTAGGTACATGCATGATTGCACGAATGATGTGACCTTATTTTGTGTACAGAGAAGTGAAAAATTGTGCTCCATTTGTGTACAATGAGCATTCTGATGTTATATATTAACTGATTTAAATAAATAAATAAATGGTTTAGGACAAATAAATAAATAGGAATCACAAAGACATTGTTAATGTCTAGCTGTGCCCACATCAGAGAATTCATTTATTTTCACCAATAATAAAACCTAGATTTGAGGTACTGGCAGCTAGGTTGTCTCGATTGCTGAGTCAAGGGAAGCATACTTATTCACAAACATGTAAGACTTATCTCCCAGCCAGGTGTGGTGGTACATGCCATCCCAGGAAGCTCAGGAGGCTGAGACAGGAGGATCACAAGTTCAAAGCCTGCCTCAGCAACAGTGAGGTGCTAAGTATCTTAGACCCTGTCTCTAAATAAAATATAAACAAGGGCTGGGGATGTGGCTCCATGTTCGAGTGCCCCTGAGTTCAATCCCTGGTATGCAACCTCCCCCACAATACCCAAAAGACTTATCTTCCTTGGTACTAAATTAAACATTGGTTTGGCTCATCTAAGAGAGAAATATGACAAATATTGTAACCTATAGGTTTGTAAATTATACAGAACCTAATCAAAATAACCATTTTTAATTAACACTTATAAAATTTAGTGGTAAAATACAACTGGGTATTTTAAATATGGATTTAACTTAAGTAAAATTTATAAAGTTCTTAGCATAGTCCTGACACTGCAATCAATRAATACCTAGTAATTACAATTTTTAAATATGGTAAAGGTAATTTTGTCATTATAGTAAAAAAAATCAGTGACATTACTTACAGATATTACTTACTAATAGTTTAAAGAACCTAGGAATAACTAACAACCAAATGTAACATATGAATCTTGATTAAATCACAATTCAGATTAAAGAAAAGAGACTATGAAAACAGAAGACAATTGGGAAATTTAATATGTCCTTGATAATAAATAATGGGGATATTTATGAGATTTCTTAAATATATACATTGTGGCTATACAGAAAAATATTCTTAGGAGATGCATACTGAATATTTTGGGATGAGATATTTCCGAAATTAAGATGGTTACTTTATGGGTGGGTAGATAAGCCAATATAAAAATCTTTAATAATTGAATCAGATGATGATTATCTGGGCATTTGTCATACTACTTTTTCAACATGAAAAAGGTGAAAATGTATAAAAGAATAATTAGCAGCTGGCTCAGGCATGTTTTTGACTAATAATAGAACGATGAATTTCTGGATCAAATGTTTGACAAGTGTTTAAAATGCCAATAAGGGTCTAGTCGATTTAAGAGAGATTTCATAAGCTTTAGACCAGGCATCCTGGCATGAGTTCCCATCCTGTCATGAAAACGCCAGCACCTACCTTATACCCTGCCCCCAAGAAGATGGGGAAATGAGGCCTAGTGCTGGTACCAGAATGTTTCACAAAATATGAGAGTATCCACTGTAAAGTAAATCTTCAGATCCATCAAGGTCTTTGTTTGGCTGTACTGGGCATTCTACCCACTGAGTTCTACCCCCAGTGTATTTTTTTTCCCCTTGAGATAAGGTCTCATTAAGTTGCCCAGGCTGGCTCTGAACTTGCAATCCTTCTGCTTCAGCCTCCTGAGTAACTGGGATTACAGGCACACACCAGCAAGCATGGCTTCATCAGTTTTTTTTTTTTTTTTTTAACACATACTTTGAAACCTAAGAGCTAACATGGCAAGATGAAATTTAACATCATAAAGTTAAAGCTATTGATGATGGGCTACCACAGTTAAAAGACAACCTGAGTACGACCCTGGAGTTTGGTTGTTTTTTTTAAACCATTTTGTTTGTTTCTTTGTTTTTGTGGTACTGGCGATTGAACTCATGGGCTTGGTTCTAAGCAGGCAATATGTCATTGAGCTACATTCCCAGCCCTTGAAGCTTGGTTTTTGAGGATTTCACCCTGACAAGTCCCCAAAATGAGTCACCTTCAGTTATGACACWAGCACAAGTATTACACCATATATTTTTTAATAGATACAATGGACTGGCCTTAAGCACTATCTAGATGGAACAGAATGAATGTAAAACAGGTGACATGATCACGTGCCTCTTATGCCTATTCCCACTTAGTAAGAGTGGAATAAGAGAACCACAGCTATCTACCAAAACTTTTTTGCCCACTCTGACAGACACTGGTAACAGGAAACAGCATTTTATGAAGCATTCCTAGCATAAACACTATATTAAGATTATTCAACCTGAGTCAGATTGTCATAAAAAGTTAAAGAGCATTACTTCATGGGCCGAAGTTCCACGTCATTCTTTTTTTTCTTTTTTTTTTTTTTTTTTTGAGGAGGAGGAGGAGGAGGAGAGAGAGAGAGAGAATTTTTAATATTTATTATTTAGTTTTTGGCAGACACAACATCTTTGTTTGTATGTGGTGCTAAGGATCGAACCCGGGCCGCACGCATGCCAGGCGAGCGCGCTACCGCTTGAGCCACATCCCCAGCCCCCATGTCATTTTTAATTGAAAGTTTCCTTAGCTGAAACAATTATAAAGCAAGGCTCTCCCTGTGCCCAAAGCCCCTTACAATTTCTCCACTATCCCAGACAGCTGGGTTATTTGCTATGGGAGTTTTCTCAACCCTCTTACAACAGGTATACATGATAATATCTCACCCTGAATTAACTGATATACAAGGAATTTGAGTGAAGTGCTATCAACTCTTTATAATAATAAGAAAAAACATAAAACCCCCCAATTTTTTGACTCTGTAAATTCCATTTCTCTCTAATATATGTGGCTGAACTCAGGCAAAATCATTTTTAAAGATAAGGAGAAATGTAGGGAAAGGTGAGTATTTTTATCCTGACCCAAAATTTCTATCTTCCAATCATAACTAATATTTATTATGTTCTTTTACAAAGTGTCAGAGATTAATTTTAAAAATGCCTTACTAATAGAGCATCATTTAATCATCAGAAAAAACCCTAAAGCATCTACTYTTAATGTTTTATTTATTTTGACTACATATTTTCTTCTGACCCCTGTCAGTTCCCCTAAATAAATATCCCACAAAGAAATTAGTTTTCCACTTGGACCTTTTATAAATGAAGTCTTGGCAGAACAACTGTCAGTCTTGGCACTTGATTCTTCTCAAACAAACCTTAAACATTCAAAAAGCTGTCACACAGGTTCCCAGATATGAAGGAATAGAAATGTGTGTAAAAACCAAGGATTCTAACGTTAAAACCTTATCAAGTTTCACTTAGCATTCACGACTTTTTTGGAAATAAAGGCAGTATGGTGATACTGGAATACGGACATTAGTGATAATTAATTGCCCAAGAATACATTAATATAAAGAAATTTACTTCCGTTAATTTTAATAGTCCTGGAAATGCCTTTCTGCTGCAGGCTGAATTCATAATGAGCATAGAAATAAGTTATACAATATGTAAGAAAGAAAGTAAATGTGCATGTCATCAAACTACCTAAAATTAAGAGAGAAATTTATGCCTCAAAAAGTGCTCTGGAATAGGCTCACTGACTCTTGGTGGTAGTATATAAAGCCAGCAAAGACTAACAATCCTTTCTACTCAGCCCAGTCTACAGCAAACACATCCCACCATTATTTGTCAGAGGGGAGGAAGAGAAGCAAAAGAAAGGAGGAGGAGGAGAAAGTGATAGTGTTAGCTATAGCAGTCATTTTATACAGATGTAGTTTCCTTACCTTAGTCAGAGCTTGTCCTAAAAGCTTCTCGAATGCTTTCAAATTAAGATAGGGACCACTGTAGTAGGGGTTATTTTGTGTTTTTCTTCCCAGCCAGTACAATGTTATCAAAACCTTTGAAAAAAAATTTCATGAACAAATCAGTCTATTTAGTAAGCTCAATTCAAGTGAATACTCAAGATAAAGGATAGCTCATATTACTCTATGGTTGAAAGTCCAACTCCCTTAAATTTATGGGAAGGGAAAGGTTCATTGAAAATCTTAATTATAGTGTGGCACAGTGATGCATGCCTGTAATCCCGGTGGCTCAGAAGGCTGAGGCAGGAGGATCATGATTTCAAAGCCAGCCTTAGCAAACACTGAGGTGCTAAACAACTCAGTGAGACCCTTGCTCTAAATAAAATATAAAATAGAGCTGGGGATGTGGCTCCATGGTCAAGTGCCCAAGAGTTCAATCCCCATAACAAAAAACAAAAAAAAAATCTTAATTATTATTGCTAGATTATAGAAGGAAACCATAAGAAACTTTTAAATCCATCAATATTTTTTTTCAGCAGCTACAGAATGAACACCTAAAATCAATAATTTTCAGCTTCCGTGATGATACTATGAAGCTTTTTAAAAACAAAGCTGCCACTTTAGATATTCTTCTATGCAGAATATTAAGGACATTATAAGTCTACACTGAACACAGCATCCTTAAACATTATGTATTCCCCTAAAGTCTGTTATGACGGTTTTCTACTTGCTCCCCTAAAAAAATTATAAAATGGGTCTGCCCTTACCACATTAGTAACTTTTAATAACTAGCTTCCAAAATCTAGCCTACTCTCTTATACTATGAAGTCAGAGAATATAAGTTCTAACCATGTACTGCAATACATATTTAGTTATATTTACAGTTTATGACTGGTGGTTTCCATGTAAAATTTAATTGGAAAAAGGATGCAGAGTATTTTTTAGTTCTATTACTTCCCTAAGGATTATCAAAGTAAAAACTATAATGCTTCATTAAATATATCTTACATTTTTCAATCTTCTATCAGTCTCTTCTTGTCTGTAAAGAAAAATAAAATATCTATTAAGTAATATCCATGAACCTTAAATTAATTGTAACTAGAAATTCATTTTTATTCTTAAGTTCTATGAATATTAATATCACCTGGTAATTCAGAAATCTTAACAGCACATATTACACATGAGAAAAATTTTCCATGTTTATTGATTTTACTAAATATAACGGTTTTCTATAAAAAGTAATTTTTCTTCATTTTACCCAATATGGTCTTATTTTTAAAATGTTATTTAGATTTTTGCATTCTAATTTTAAACAATATTTAAGTCCAATGGCGGGGGAATCAATGTGTGCTTAGGACAGGAAAATTGGGAAAAAAAGAAAAAAAAATCTTAGGAAGATGGAGTGAGGGGAGAAAGCAGGCACATGCTGACATTTCTCCTTCACTGTCCACAAGGTTTTGCACTCAAGTTCCCCAGAGTAAAYGGCTCAGAGATCATGACCCTAAACATGTTGAAAGTCCAGTTTAGAAAATGGCTATGAACCTCCTCCTGAAAAAAGTCACTAAGAATCATGGGAGTTTGGCTCACCTGTAGGGCATGATATTTAAGGGAGAAGTTAAAAGGAAGTAGAATATCACCTCAGTGTGGAAGCAGCAGCAATAAACTATGAACAAAGAGTAGGGTCACCCTAAAAGAATGGGCTTTGTGTCAGACACACACAGGATCAATGTGAATTCAGAGACCATAGAAGCCTGAACTAGATGGCCTCTAAAATGGCTTTTCAGCCAAACTACAAGTGATACAACTATAAAATAAAAATACAATTACAAAATAAAATACATTGATAATTGTATACAATTATCAATATGTTTGTAGAAGACATATAACGTGCATTCACAAATATATACACAGAGGAAAAAAACAAAGTAAGTTTGGAGTGCACAGAGACAATTATTTAACTTTATCTTTGAAAGAATAAGTGAGGCAACTGTGATTATTTCCTTTCACAGAACAAATATGAACTTAAGAATAATATACATCTCCCACCCAACCCCAAAAAGCATCTCAACAAAAAATTCATGTTCTCATATAAATACAAACTGGTACAACTATTCACACTCTTAACCCGCTTGGTGATATCTATTTCAGCTAAACACACTGACAATTCACAACCTCGTAATTCCATTTCTAGGTAATTCCATTTCTACAACAAAGCCTCTACTAATTTATCAAAAGTCATATACAAGAATGTTTAGAGCAGCATTATATACCACAGCAAAAACTGGAGAATTCGCTCTTTAAGAGAGCAAGGATTATGGAATACCCACACAATGAGAACAAACAATCTCCAAACTATTTTCAAGTAACTGGTACAATCTCACAAACAACGGGAAGTTAAAAAAAAATAGTGAAGCACAAAAACCATACATATTATATGAATGAAACAATATAAAATAAAAACCAGGCAAAACAAAGACATGCTATTAGAAGACCAGATAGTGATTATCCTTGTGGGAGAGAGTGGCAGAAGTCATTGGCAGAGTGTGGGGCTATCAGAATGCTAAAAATTTGTAGTTTGCTCTAAAAGCTGGCTACCTATGTGTGTTCAGTTTCTAAATAAATATGTGAATTGTACATTTCCCATATGTATACTTTTCTGTATATATATATATCTACTTCAAAAAAAGTAAATAAATAGAACAAATTTCTTGGCTTGAATGCTCACACTGTCTCTTGAGTAAAAAGAAAATCATCTTGTAAAAATTAATAGCAGTTCATTTTGGAAGTAGYTAGTGGAGAAAGTCACTAACAAGAAACTGACAATAAAATAACAGTTATAAACTCATACCCCTTACTAGATTAATGACTAACACACCCAACTCAAATATTAAATTATCCAAAACATGAAAGAACCATCAAAACACAGTACAAAGATGTACTAATCCAAAAGTTGCCCCACTTTTATCATAAGTATATCAGAGTAGAAGGAGCAAAAAGCCCTCTTAAACCCCTGACCTCCTTTGCACAGCCCTCAATAAAAGTTTCCAATTCAACAATCTCATCTGCTTACAGCTATTGGTCATGACACAGCAAGCACTGCAAGTACAGGGTACTGCTTATTGTGTTGTAGTCACTCACTATAGCAGTGACTTTGGCATTATTGCCCTCATTCACTTTACCTTCCTTCTAAATATAGGAATTTGCAACATACTCTTGAACACAGTGATACACAGGCCAACCAAATTAGTGCCCTATCACTGAAATGTAATGCCAGGAATTCAAGTAGTCAATGATTTGCTGGAATAAAGAGAGTTCACACTGACATACAACAAATACCCCACTGCATGATATCAGGAATCAGGAGACTCCTTTGCCTGGGATAACCCTGAGGCACAGCCCCAAGGCCTTTTAAATAGAACAAGTGTGAGGGTGGAGAAGCTTAGGATTAACAAGACAATGTGAGTCAGTCATATTTACTGCACAACCAATCCATCAGAACCAAAAATGAGGTAGTCCTATCATCAGAGTAATTCTTCCATAGCAAATGCATCCATAGTTGACACTGATTAGTACTAGGTTTAAGGAGCAAGGGGTTTAGAGTCAGATCTGGGTCTCTCTGGCTATACCTGAGTTATTTACTTGACTCTCAAAGATTAAGTTTCCTTCTGGATAAACTGGGGCTAATGCCTCCTATTTCAATAGCTAAGGAGGAATATACACAAGTACTTAGTAGAATCCCTAGCCTCCCAAGGAAGAGTTCATCAATAAACAGTTCTCAGAATTGGCAGTATGTTACATGACACCAAGGCTCTCTTATTCCCACTCTGCATATAGAGCCTCCTAGTGAAGTCAAGTAGGACCCTGGTATTCAAATTCCAACTTGCCTGCCTAATTCCCATTTTTACCCTGACTTTCCCTGCCCCAACCTTGGTTTTTACAACCATCTACTATTCGCATTTTTTTTTTATCTTTCTCTCTTCCACTAGAATCCAAAAAGTTTGTGTGGTTTTGTTCACTGCTATCTCCCATGTACCTTAAAACAAGGTATGCCCACTTGAGAAGGAAKAAAAATATTTGTTTAAAAGTGCCTAGCACAGTTCATGGCACAAAAGTTCAGGTTAAAAGTGATAGAATAGTTAAGTAATATTTAAAATAATCTTCAAAAATGACTACCTTGAATATATTGAAAGSCTTTAGTCTATGCTTGGATCATACATCAACTTTTTTTTTTTTTTTAGATTTTTATTTTGTTTTTTTTAGTTGTAGTTGGACACAATATATCAAACCCAGGGCCTTACAACCCCAGCCCAACTTTTTAATACTATACTTAATATTTACAAAATAGCAAATATAGCATAGATATATATATTTTTTTTTCTGTTAATGGAATAGTTCTGGCAATCCTTTTGCTATCTGACAAAGGTCCAGAAGACATGTCTATCACAAACCTCTGACCTTTGTGCTTATCAATTTAACCAGCTGCCACGTATTCTAATAGCTAATTGGTAAACTTAAGATCAGGAAACTCTGGGTGGAATCCTCCTTCTTAACTCTAAGATTTTTAAATCAATCAACAAAGGACTAAGGAAATAGTCTAAGTAGATGCTCTGACTCTCCCCAGAGATGCTGTGCTGAGTCCTGCCATCAGGAGGCAGCTCAGCTAAGAGGGCTCTGAGTTCAGCTCTCCTGCAGGTGAAATCTAGATCCAGTCTTGCTAGCTTAGTTTTCCAAAAGCTCAACATGGAAGAACCTGGTCACATCACTTAACTCTGTCCTCAAAGCCACACCTGTAAAACAGGAGCAGTGCTGGCCTCATTGAGTTTCAACAAAAGATTTTAAAAGTATTTCACCTATACAGAAAAAATAAATAATTCATTTCACAACTACCCCCTAATTATACATTTAAATCAAACCACTGGGGGGAAAGGGCAGTGTCAGGAGGTCAATTTCTCCCCTACATGTGATATTTTTCCCTTAGAAGAGATATTTCTGTGGAACAATTTGTGACACTCTTCCATGTTATATTTTCCTTGTCCTCTTGCCATGGAAGGCTTTAATCAAGAATAAGAAAATATTTCTAGAATAAGGTCAAGCAAAGGGCAAAGCAAACTGACATGGTATGGCTATCATTTTCTCAACATTGATGTTAGCACCAAACCAGCCTCCCCACCCATCCTTGGTCTGCAGTCTGCCTTGACCAAGTACCCTTTAAGTTTTCCAAAAGCCCAACATCTGAGGAAAAAATATATATATCTGCACATCCAAAAATCTATCCCTCATATCTGACAGTACAGTTTGAGAACAAAGTGTTAATAGGTAAGATTAACATTTACCAGTATGTGCCAGCCAGCTGTGTTCTAGGATTGCACTAAAAATATTTCCAAAAATCTTCAAAGAGCTAACTCTGGACCCACACTCATGCAACTGCCACAGCCTTTCCAGCAGTTTCCTTGGGGGCTGTAGAGACACATGGCTCTTTTCTCAGAGCCAATCACGGCCTGGAAAAGGCCAAGCATTTAAGTGCTCATATATGTTACTTCAAGCCACTCACAGCCAACCTAGCACATCAAGAGCCAGAAGTGACAGGAAAAATGTTTCTCCAAAAAGAGTAAAGCTTCAGAGGATCTGACATGAAATCCCAGTCTCTGTTTCTCTCCCGTGTCTCAGTATGTCTTTTCCAGGGTAGTACAACCTTTGTCATTTGCAACATTGGAAGACCCAATCTTCCCAGGCTCTGCCACAATATCACAAATCCCTAGAAGTTCAATTCCCCATGCTTTAAAATCATCTTTTCTCCCCGTATTCCAACCCCTTCACTRTGCAAGCCAAATTGATCAAGATCAAATATAGTAAATAAGCCAATCCCACCCCAAAAAAGGCCAAATGTTCTCTCTGATATGTGGATGCTGAAACAGTAAGGGGAAGGGAGAATAGAAGTTCATTGGATTAGACAAAGGAGAATGAAAGGAAGGGACAGGGGATTGGAATAGGAAAGACATAACTTTCCTATGTTCATAYATGAATGTTCAGTGAAACTCC